CATTTATCAGATATGTTTAACTTGTCCCAAAATTTCCGTACTCATTCTGGTGTGCTCAGATTAGCGCAGAGCGTAATTGATCTTCTTTGCTATTTTTTCCCTCATTCTATCGATGTATTACCACCTGAGACTAGCTTTGTATATGGTGAGCCTCCACTTGTGATTGAGCCAGGTAGTGATGAGAATGCAATTATCACTATTTTTGGATGTGGAGGAAATGTTGGAAAAATGGTAGGTTTTGGTGCTGAGCAGGTCATATTAGTGCGTGATGACTCTGCGAGAGAGGAAATATCTAACTGGATTGGACATCAAGCTCTTATTTTGACCATAGTGGAGTGCAAGGGCCTTGAATTTCAGGTGAGTAATTTGTGCCTCTTTCATTTTCTCCCTTTCTCAAGTGACTTTCGAAAGCATTGCATTATGTAAGATACTATCTCATCTCAAAACATTATTAGATGCAGAAATTACGCGAGTGATATATGTTATGCCAATACATTATTGCTGTTTATTCTCACTAATGTTGCACATTGCGCTTTAGGATGTTTTACTATTCAACTTCTTTGGCTCTTCACCCCTGAGGAGTCAATGGAGAGTAATCTACGAGTTCTTGAAAGAAAAAGACTTGTTTGATTCCGGTTTTCCCAAGTCCTTTCCAAGTTTTAGCCAATTAAGACACAATATCTTGTGTTCTGAACTAAAACAATTATATGTGGCCATCACTCGAACAAGGCAAAGATTATGGATTTGTGAAAATGCTGAAGAGCTTTCCAAGCCAATGCTTGATTATTGGAAGAGACTTGGCCTTGTGAATGTGAGGAAAGTTGATGATTCACTAGCACAGGCAATGCAAAAAGCAAGCAGCCCAGAGGAATGGAAATCACAGGGAATTAAGGTTACGGTGCTTTTCTACACATTTTTTCCTTTCACCTATTCTGTTAATTTGTTACCCTCTCCGGTATTCCGTTTGATGCTTGGTTATTGTGTTGAAAAATTGATCTTATGTACTTCTGCCAGCTCTTTTGGGAAAAAAATTATGAGATGGCCATCATGTGCTTCGAAAGAGCTGGAGAACCAACATGGGAAAAACGAGCTAAAGCTGCTGGCCTTAGGGCATCTGCTGATCACATGCGTGGTTCAAATCCCAATGAGGCTCGTATAATGCTTAGAGAGGCTGCCGAATTATTTTATTCTGTTGGCAAAACAGATTCAGCAGCCGAATGTTTTTTTGACTTGGAGGAATATGAAAGAGCAGGTGCCTTATAGTTTGTTGCACAAAATACTAAACCACTACACACTATAAATGGTCTTTCTAATGCATTGCATATATCCTAATTATTTTTATGAGTATATTTTAATGAAGTCTGCATTTTTTTTCCTTCATTCAACTTTCATAGTCTTCTGAATGTTAAGATATTTTTAGCGATGCATCAATTCTGAAATTCCCACTCTGCAAGGTGCTAAATTGTTTCTCGGTATATTCTACGGTTTAAGAAGGAAGGTGCAACCTAAATACCATAAATATGAGCAACGTTTATGTGATGCCCTATTAATATATGACAACAAACTGATTCACAAAAAAATCCTATTCAGGAGTTGACTAATTTGCAGTTGCATCCATCACTTGTGTTTCTATATTTGCTGTAGACCTGATGCACACACCTGGCTGCACCTTCATGTGAACTTTTGATTTCACATCATTTTAAGCTTTATATGAACACTTCTTTATGTTTATCTCTGATGCTCGGACTCTTTGAAATAGTTGGAGTATTCGTGTCGGACATGACATGACATGGGTATGGGATATGTGTCAGATCCTTCAAATTTCAACCGGATACTTTGTCATTTTTGCTTTTCCTTCTTTTTCTTCTTTCTTCTTCTTTTTTTTTT